GCCAAGAAAGTCATGCCTCAGAACATGTTCCTCTGCTGCTTGGAAGCATACCTGTATTCCTGCAGCATACCTGCAGGTTCCCAAACTATTAATTACCAAAACCCATGCAAACTGAATGTTGCCATGGCAACCTGCAGCCCTACAGAAGGCTATTTGTCTCCTCCTTGACCTTTCAGGAGATCTGTATCTTGCTCAAGCCCCCTTCTCTAATCCGGTTTTTAAAATATAATAGTATGCTACTGGAAGGGATCAGACCTTTAATCTGATTGTGTGCGCATGTGTCAGTGCATGTATGGGGGAGTGCCTGCATTAACAGGCACCCAGCAGCGGCTCAGAGACAAGACAAAGGAAAAGCAGAGTGTGACTCTGCCCTGCTGGGGCTGCAAGTGAGCACCTGGGTGGAATTATTGGCTTCAGCACGCAGATGGGGGAATCCTCTACATGGGAAGGGCCAGCCCTCTCCGATCCCCTTAATGCAGGCTCCTTCCCACTGAGGTCGTGCGAGAGTTGTGCTCTTGCTGATGAGGACTTCAGAGGGGATGCTGTCACACCCATTTCAGTTTCCCTTCCAGTGAGCCGAGGTCCCTGCCTTCAGTTGCATTAATCACCGTGCCAGACCAAGCATCCAAGTTTTAGGCATTACTACATGTATGTTGGTATCCCCAAAGTGCATATTCTGGATTTTAACCTGAGGTCCTGCAAGCTGGACCTACAACATTGTTTTGCCTGTTGTATTCCCTCCGAGGGAGGAATCTTTAATTTTGCATTGGCTCTGCCTGCTGGAGCCCTGAGCCCGTGAATTTGTTACCTGTTGCATATATGACAGGATTACTGTGAGCAAGTTAGGTGGTGTGTAAACCCAGAGGAACAAATAGCCTTTTCCCCAAGAGACTTGCTGTCGACTGTCCTGTATTGTAAGCAAGTTGAACACACAGAGAATACCCTGTAACCTGGGCTGAGGGAGAGGGTCTCATTTCTGTGCTGTGCCGCTTGTTCAGGTTGCGCTTTGCACTGCTCAGGTCTGTGCATCGAGAGCCAGCCTCCTAGCTGTGTCTGCGAGATGGGCTTTGGTAGGTGCTGGACTGGGCCTCTTTTACAGGATGCGGGCACAAAAGTCCGGAGCCGACAGTTAGGAGTGAAGATTGAGGAATGGGACTGAGGAATCGGGGACCAGTTAGTCAAAGGGAATTGAAACACGGGGCGGAGGGCCGGCATCGGCTGCCTGGCGGCCCTGGGACTGCCCTGCGCAGGTGTGGGCACTAACCGAGCACAGGTGATCCCTGTTCCGCAGAGCTGCAGGCGTTTGCTGGGCGACTGGGCTGCTCTGCCGAGGGAGCACATTGTGCAGGTTGCCTTCAGGAGGAGGTAAGTGGTTGGTTGAGTTTTTCAGATAGCTGTTTTCTGTGGAGAAACGTGCTAGGCTGTTTCTGGGATGAGGCAGGGCTGAGGTAGATGTTTGCCTGCCTTGTGTTGTAGGGCCCGTGTCAGTGATTGTGATTTGGCTGAGATGGTCCCCTTGGGGTAGGGGGGAGGGCCTGGGCAGGACTGGGCTGTAAAGGAGTTTGGCCAGGCTGGAGTTACAACTCATGTTTCGCAACTTTTGGTATATGGACCAAGCAGATCTCCCAAAGCCTGTGGTAGTGCTATGTCTTTTGTCCTCCTGCGGAGCCAACCAGCAGCAGACAATGGGATTTCAGGGTTGGAAGTGCAGTTGCAGTGCTGCAGTCCGAGGTAGTGAGTGTGCGAAAGCAGGGTAATTTCTGAAAATTGCTGGTAGGTGGGCAGAGCCCTTCTTCCTGGCTGAGGCGTTGAGTAACTGAAGAACTGAGACTCAACTGAAAGTTAAACTTTCACTAGCTTTATTAAATGGCATTGGGATGAAAGCAGTTAGTTGGACTTTGCTCTGTGGAGCTTCAGGAGGATTTCTTGTAAAAATGATGTTTGCTTACTATCTCATGCAGTCACGGGTAAGGTGGAGGTGGCAGAGTTGTGAGCTGCAGAACCAAAGCTGGTGTTTCATTCTGTTGATCCAATGTAGTGGTAGAAAGTCCTCTGTGGTCTAAGCAGAGCTTTATGCAAGTATGTCCCTTACTAGAGAGCGCACACAAACACTGGTGTCTGACTGCAGCTGTGTGGAGCTGTATTTGCTGGGGCCAGCTTGGCCTACAGTGTATTAAAAAAATGCTTAAATTCTTGATCTACGTAGAAAGGTATCTCAATTTTTCATAAGAAGCTCTGGTTACCATTCACTCTCTTTTCTCATACTAAGACTGAGCCCCAGCTATAAGCTGCCTCCCATTGTGCCAGGTGTACAAGCAGCCCAGAACAAAAACACAGTCTCTGCTTCAAACCTTCCATGCACTAAGGCAAAAGGAACAACTCCTGGGGACAGTTTGATGTGTTAAAAGCTGTCTGAGCCCGTTTGCCTTCTCTCTAGTCTTTCTTCCCTTTCCTCTCGATGTCACCTTGGTGTTTGGTTTGCCTTCTGCAAAGGTATTCCAGCAAAGTCATGTTTTCCTGGGATCCTGCCTAATTGCGTGGGTAGACTGAGTTGAACTCAAAGCCTGTAGAGTGTACCTATCAGCCCTGTGCTATCTGCTCACGTGTGGAGTTATGACTTGCTAACGCACCTTTGCATACCATGATGATTTTAATTTTAAGGCCGTGGAAGATCTCCTAAAAACACAAGATTGTTGGAGAAGAAAAATATCACTTCTGGTGTGGTAATGTTTCCTTCTCGTAGATCTCCTGGTTTTAGTTTACAGTGGATATATCGCAGTGTTCTGCGCTCTTTGCGTTTCAGAGAATCAAGTCATGTTACGGGGTTGCTGTGCTCTTTTCCAGAAAGAGAGGTAGCTGCATTTTAGCGGTGGATAAAACAATTCCTTCTCATAGCTCTCTTAACATGTTTACATCTCAGAGGTGCTTTGGGCTCAATTGGGATGCAAGACACTGTGCAAATGCAAAGATGTAATTATCCCATTTTTCTCTTCCTACTCCCTGCCTCTCTCCCTCTGCACTTTTGGCTCATCTCCTCCGCCCTTTCCTGAGCATTGTGCTGATGGCAGCGTTTATCTGCATTTGTCCTCTGTCCCTGACATCCAGTTATTGATTGGCATGATTAAAAAGAACTGATAATCACTTCACATTAATCCCATAAATGACTTAAGACACCAAAATATTTGCATAATGCATCTTAAAGGTGGCAGCTAAAAGAGGATAAGACCCAAAACTGCTTGGCACAGGAGAAATGGGCTTCCCACTCACCTGTGGGCTTGCTTAAGTAATTAGCCTTCTGCTTGCATAAGGAGGAATCTGAACTGGTTTAGCGGAGGAAGATGCAATGGGTGCTCAAAGGCTTTGAGATCCGAGCATCCTATCTTGTTGCTGAGATTGGGGGTGGGGGGACCGCGCGGGGGGAGCAGCAGGGAACATGACAGCGGCTGCTGAAATGAGAGTCTGTTTTTGTCTGCTACATCTTGTGAAAATCTGGAGCCAGACACCCGCTGAAAGTACCTCTGTCTAAAGACTTTCTGTCATAAACTTATCTGATTAGCAGAGAGCTAGACGACAGATTAGCCCCTGCTTCTGCACTAGGGATGGGCTCTCTGGAGCATTTGAGCAGATCTGCTCCTGTTGCTAGTGCTGATAGCCTGTAGGTGGGGGTGCAGCAGGTGGGGAGGAGGTAAGGGGGGGGATAAGAGGGGGATATTTAAAGGAAGATCATTGCTAGGTAATTCTGCAGATAATGCACCCTCCGTGTTGTCCTGCTGGTCCCAGGTGAGGACACTCTCCTCTGCACCAGTGAGTTGGTGGTCATGTGCTGTGTGTCACAGCAGAGCAGAGTGGGTGCACTTGTCATGTGAGTAGAGGTTGGGAGGGAGCTGTGGATGTGGGAGGGAGGGCAATATTTCTAATATGTATAATTTTTTGTAAGTGTCTCTGGTTCTTCTGGCTGTCATCTTCCATTTAGAAAGAGGAGAGGAAGAAAAATAGCCGCATTTAGCTTGGGGCAAGCACCTTGTGCTAGAAGGATGGGTGATTTAACATATACTGCAAACAAACAAAAAGGAGACATTCCAGCATTTCCATTTAGTGCCATGAATACGTTTTAGCTTGTTTTTCCTCTTCAGTGTTTGTATATCATTTATTCAGGAATATTTTGCAAGTGGATAGTGGTTTGCAAGCAAAAGCATTTGCCAGCTGAACTGCAGTATCTGCTACAGTGAATGTCTTTTTGTGTTTGTGTTCTCCCTCTCCATAGAATGAAAAAAAAAGAAAAAAGACTGAACTAGCCTACTTAGCAGCAATCTGACGCAAGGATAACAGGCAAAATAACGCTGAACTGCTCTAATGCATTCTCTTGTCCCAGAAGGAAGAGAGCATTGTTTCAGGATGTGTTAGAGTGAAGAATTGAAAATGAGTTTTGTAAATAAATCTGTACCCTTAGCTCTGAGTAACGCTGATGTCTGGGTTCATGGTGGGTTTCTCTCTAAAAAGAAAAACTATTCTTCAAGTAAATAAAGTAGTCTTGTGTTCCAACAGTGATGGAATGGAAAAACTTAGTTTTTCTAAGAATAGAAGAGTGGCAACTGATAGAAAACTATCAGTTATTTCAGTTCAAGTTTCCTATTAATTCTGGAATAGATCTGCCAATTCCTACACTTTCAGTTTTTCCATGTGAGATGTAAGTTCTGGCCCACGCAAGTTATATCTGGCAAAACTGAAATCAGGAGCTCTGGCAGCTGCAGAGTCCTTTATGGGAAATGAGAGTTCTGTTTGGGAAGTGCTTTCCACTTAGTCTCCGCTCCCCAAAACTAGAGGAGGTTACCTAGGAACCTGATGGGTAGGAGGGGGAGAACCTTTCTTGAAATACAGCTATGTCACGGGCAAACAAAAGAATCTTGCATGCGCACACACATACGCTCATACACACAAAAATCAATTATGCGGTGGCAAATAGGATTTCCTTAACTTGGTGCTTTTCTGCTCTGTTGCAGCCGTGATAACGACCTTTCCACTATCATCTCCAACCTGCATCAGAGCCGTCAACTCGTTATGCCAGAGACCCAGAGCCGCTGTGAATTCAAGAGAAACAGCATCGACGTTGGCTTAGGAGCAGCAGGTAAGCAGCTGGAGCAGGTCCTGCTGGTTTGGGTTTGTTGACTTCCCTCCTCTCTCCTTCATTCCCTCATTTGTTCGTTTTTTCAGCAACTGTTTTTTCTGTGGCTGTTTGTCTTACACTTTGGAGTGAGCTATATGAAAGCTTTTAATATTCTGGCTAAAGATTAACATGGAAGGGATTTCATGGTGATGTTAAAGTCCTTTTGAGATCTCAGCCCTGTGTTATTCTCAAATCTGGTGGTCTGTGTTAAACTACTGGCAAAGGAGCTTGCGCCAGCAAAGAAGTGAAATGTCCCCGGGGTTAGTGTCAAGTGAAGCAGAAAGGCCTTGCAGAAAGCATGGTTTGATTTGTAATTTCATTAATCAGAGGTTCCCCGTGCTGCCTCTGTGCCTGCCAGCTCCTTTGTGAGCATGATTGTTTGGTTTTGTAGTGCTGCCTGGCTTTTTTTGGAATTTCACCTGGTTTCAACTTAACATGGTGAATCGAGAAATGCTCCTCTTGGATCTTGCACCGTGCCTCTCTGGATGTCAGTAAGGGAGCTATCGGCAAGGATGCTTCAGTGGTAGATACACGTCAGTCAACAAGTGAGGCACTGGTAATAAACTGGAGATCTGCTTCTTGTTTGCACAATCTACAATTTGCTTTTGATTACAAATAAAAGTGGAGGAAAAACTGGGAGTTATGCTAGTTTTTATATTGAGTGATCCCTGTCCTTCCAAATCAGAATTGGATCTCTCTGTGTATGTTAATGTAGACCTTTCCTGAAAATCTGTATGTTTGTGGTTTTGTTCATATGTTCTTGTAAGTCATTCTGTTGACTGTGTAACTTAACCCCGGATCTGAAGGGAACGCCACATCTAATACACTTTGGGAATGTCTTTGGAGGATATTCAGTAACGTGACAGGTACCTGGTTTGCCTTGTGCATGAGGCTTGACCCCTTTCCAGAAAGGTTCCTCCTGCCTGCAGTGAAACTTGTACTGGTGTGACTACTGTTGCAGTAAGGTGGTCAGTCCCATGTATGTGTTGTGCTGACCTGGGGGATTGTGCTATGTCTGTAAAGCAGCCATGGGCAGCTCCCAGTCTTTGCTTTCACAGCTGAATCTCCACATTCTCTTCATTAACCGATCTCCACAGCCCCTTTTCCTACACAGCTCTGAAAGCCAAACTGGACAGAGAGATAAGTTTTTCTGTATGACCTTGCTTGAGTCTATATGTCTCAGCTGACCCCGTATGTTAAAATGGCTTTTAATATTGTTTGCTTTACAGAGAAACTGCTGGGCTTGATCAGCGTTGCTGAAATTCTTTGAGATCCATAGCATTCCAGAAAGGCAAAGAGTACTTTTCATTCCCATCAGTGTTAAGCAGTAGAAAAGATTAGATGTAGAAGTCCTAATTCTTATTTGTTAGAATTTATGTTTGAGGTTCTCTGGTTAGCTTCACCATGAGAAACAGTAAGAAATATAAAACATAGGCACTGTACACAGGTCGTAGCAGTGGGGACAGCAGTGCTTGGCTCTGACCTCAATGAAAGTCTGAGCAATGAAAAAGAAGAGGACTCATTCACACAAGAAGGCCACCAAGCAAGTGACAGAGCTTTTCAGGACGTGATAGATTTGGTGTCTCTACAAGAGTTGACCAGCAAAGGAGTAGGTGGGGGGATGGTGGGGAGGTTAGGTATCTAAAGGGAGAGAGGGCATTGTCACATCTCCACAGGGACAGTTTAACTCTGACTTTTCCCTGCTGTCTGGAGCCGGCTCACTCTACGTGCTTGTTTGATTAAGGGAAGACTCATTTGCCAAAGTCTACGCAGAACCTGCCAGCTCTGACTTCAGAGCATGTGCTGAACTGGTACCTATGTCACCACCTCCCGGACATGGAAGTCAAGGGAACAGAAACAAAGTGTGCTGGGATTTGTAGCTGATGCTGATTACTGTTTTTATGTCTTGGTTCTGTTTGTTTTTACTGGCAGGGGTGGAAGGGGAGAATGGTATAACTATTTGCTACATATATAATTTTAAGAGAGTTAGTAGTGTTGGGTTAGTTTAAAAGACTGGCTGTTGTTTAAACCACTCAGTTACAACAATAAGGGAAAAAGAAATGTGCCCTCAGTTGTCTGCTGTTTGCATTTTAGGCCTTTGAGAACAATACTGTTTATTTGGGTTATGAGAATCTCGCCCTCAAAAAGGCATTTGGAGATAGACAATGCTGAGTGAATGACGTTAATGCCAATATGTTTAAAAACTCCTGCATCACTCATGACTATAAGCTGCAGTGCTCTCAAAGTAAGTAGGAATCTGCTGCTAAAATTTAGATTTATGGTTTGAAGTTAGGCATACAGTCCCAGCCAGTAGAGGCTGAACGCTCCGGAGGCTGCTCTGCAGCTCAAACTGCAAATTCTACATGTGGAGGACGAGGGGCGAGTGCATACTGCTAAAACAGGATACAGAAGTGTATGAGGCTTCTTGGCTATGGCTGAGGCTAGTAGAGGATTGAGAACAAGGATAGCATGAATGGAAGACATTTGCTTATTGCAGGGCCCATGGGGTTAAGAAGAGGGTTTAAGTTGGCAGGGTTGGTTGGTTTATGACTAATTCTGTGAGGGAATTCCTTGAGTTATAGTTAAAACCAGGATTAGAGGCAGTGCTATAGTTTTGAACAGCATGGACTGGAAAATCAGAAATATTACTGGGTCTTTAATGGTCTTTGAAATGCAGAAAGGGGCTGAAAGTAATGGAAAATAATGGCATATGGTTAGTTGTGGGGCTTTTATGAATTCTGGGAGGTAGGTGAGACTAGAGTCAGGGTTCAAGCTAGATCTGGGCTGATGTTCAGGTCAAAAGGAGCTGAAGAGACTGATGGAAGCTGGAACATATAAGACCTGTGGTTGCAAGAGCAGCACTGATATTAATATCCTCGGAAGGCTTATGGATAATTTTTAAGTGAAAACAGGTCACTTTATGTCAATGGTGATGGTTATATTTGGGAGCAGAGAGACTGAAGAGCTTAGTTTGGGACAGCAGAAGCTGAAAGACTTGGAAAATAACTTGGGTCCTGAAAGACTCAGATAGGGTTTGGCTCTGACTAGACAAGGATTTAATAACCCATCTCGGTGGGTGTAATAACCCACAATGGTGGGTGCTAGCTGTTTGGAACAATAAGCCTAGAGGAGGTGCAGTCTTAGGGCTTGGGATAGCTGGGACAAAAGAAGTCACTGTATTTTGGTTCTTGTGAGGCCCAAAATGCTAGGAAGAGTCTGGAGTCATCAAAAAGAAATGGCTGTGCTATCTGTTGCATCACTTAGGTGCGATTAAGACCAGTGTAGTGATCGTGACATGTTGGTAAGTTTAGCATCTACAGATATCTGGGCTAGGAAATCTGAGAGCTACAGTGCTTTGAAAATACACTTATCATAAAAAATGGAAAGACTGTTATTGCTAGCCTACAGTGACAAAGGGGAAAGGGAGGTAGTTATGTTGCTAGCAAGTAAAGTTTCATCAGAAATGTTGGACGAGATGCATAATGCCTTCCACCAGTTTTCGAGTACGTTGTAGAGGTGCATGAGTCAACCAAGGCACAGAAAGGCAAATTTTCCCAAGATCATAAAGCAGATGATGACTGAACAACAGAGCTCAGTTTCCTGTCTTGTCCTCCTTAACTTCCCTGCTAGACCTCTATGTTGTTGTTCCACTGTGACAATATGGAATACATGTGGGTTATAGCCTACTTTGAGAGTCAGCATATGAGAGATTTGGGGGTGGGGTGGGGGTGGGGTTCCCCCCTGCTAGTGTGTGTACTGAAGCAAGACGTCTAGATAAGAATAGCTGACAGCATAGTTCACATTTGAAGTGTCCCCTGATACTGGACCTTTAAAGGAAATAAAGAATACCAACAGCAAAAATCTACAAAAAAAGCAAAAATCTGCTCCAGCCAGTGCTTCTCAGTAAGACATCTGGAGACCCGGAACTGGCAGAGGTAACTGAGGCTTTTGCAACGACAGCAGAAATAGGTGGCCGAGAGGCGTGTACTGATAAAATCTAATTGCCCTATCGATTGGCTTAGGAGCCACCGTCAGCCGTGGTAATGATTGAGATATTCTTATGTGTTTGATGCATGTTAGCTGTATCTCACTGCTCTGGGCCCACTGGGGACCTTAAGGTATTACAGAGATCTCTTAATCATGGAGCAAACTTGCGTGTGTTGGGCCTGCTCTGCAGCACTACAGATTTATTACAATTACCCCTGATGCACTTGGATTTCCTTAGGTCCCAGGGGGTCCTGGGTTTTGGGAAGAGCTGCCCTATTTGTAACTCTGAATTCTTAACTGGCTGAGGAAATCCATCTCACTGGTTTAGGATTTTACCCATCTGCACCCTCTCACACTATTCTTCCTTCGCATCTGGGTTGACTGTTGACAGTATTGTGTCCTCAGACTTTTAAGAATACTGAGCTTCTGCCGCTTCTGCTTTCTCTGCCTCTTTTTGTGACTGGGAGTGGCGGTGCTCGTGCTTGCAAAGTAGAGAGAGCACTGCTTTCTATAGTCCCTGGATAAATGTCTGTTCACCAAATGGTTGTGCAACTTTCAAGTGTGCAAGTGTTCGTTGTTTCCAACACAGATTGAAAGAGCAGTAGATTCTTGTGGAGGATCAGAGAACGTAGGGCAAAGGAAGGGCACTTGCCTCTCTGCCAGCAATGTTGCTTTTCATTGATCAAAATGATATCCAGCTCCTCTTTTGAAGTCTAGGTTATGTCTACACTGGATTTATATCCAGCTGCTAGGTTTAATCTCCTCCTACTTCTCTGGCCAGTGTTGGACCTTTTTTTAATTTTTTTTTTAAACCTGGAGCTAGCTAATCCAGCTGCTGAGGGGTAAGGTTGGCTCTTGGGCAGAGAGATACTCCCTTTGCAGAGAAGAGAGGTGAGCTACTTCACCTAAGTGCTGACAGTCTGCAGGACTGCAGTTGGGGGGAACATACGTAGAGCCTACCTGGAAAAATAGGC